GCACTGGTCCCACCTTGCAACATGTTCAAAGTATGTCAGACAAAGCTTCAGAATCCTTGCCTCCAAGGATCCGCCTGGCTTCACCCTCTTCAGGATGAAATTGTTTGTTTTCCTAGCAGTCCATGGTATATTCAATACTCTTCTCCAGCACCACAACTCAAAGGCATCAACTCTCCTTCTATCATCCCTAGTCATTGTCCAGCTCTCTGTTGCATAGCGAGTGATTGCAAAGACCATGGCATGTATCAGGCACACCTTAGTCTCCAGACTGACATCATTGCTCTTCAGTACTTTGGAGAGGTCTCTGATAGCAGACTTTCCCAATGCAATTCTTCTTTTAATTTCTTGGCTGCTGGTAAAGGAATCTAACAAAAAAACACCCAGCAATTCCATCAATTCACCTCTAACTATATTTTTTCCCTTAAGTTTATCTCCCTATCTCTAAGAATGAGGAGCCCTGCCAGTGTAAGGTATTCTGGGCTGGACTACTAACTGAAAGGTAGGGAGTTCAAATCCAATAGTCACTCTACAAGAGATAGATGAAGCAATCCCTTTCCCTGTGGACTCTTGGCCTCAGGAACTCAATGACAGGTGATCAATTTCACCAGTATCGATTCAATAGCAATTTTAGGCTAGGGTTTTTGTGGCATCTCCAATAATATACTTGTTCAATTACTTCTTGATTTTTCAATTTGAAATGTCTTTTATGAACTTCTGATTATGAAAGAAAAAGAAGTCCTGTTACCACATAATCTGAGCACAACAAATATACACTCATTTCCCCTTACCTTCATGTCCTCATTATGATTGCATCATACTTTTTATTAAACGACCAGAAAAAACATACATAGTCTGATTGCATATATTATAATAGTATCTCCGATCATATGCTATTCACAGTTGTATCATGCAGGTTCTTTTTTGTACAGTAATTTGTTTTCCTTGTAGCTATAAGGATTTCATTTCTTCATTTGCTTAATTTTCTATGTATTTATTCCAAATGTTTCCCATAAACCGTTCTCAGAGGTTTCATTTCTGCTTCTGCTTATTAAAGCAGGGAGCTCTGGTGGCTCAGCGGGTTAGAACTTGAGCCGCCAACCCCAAGGGCAAGCGGTTTGAGTCCACCAACTGCTCTACAGAAGAAGTGCGGACATTCTCCTCTTGTGTGCTGCTTGCCTCTGAAAATCCACTGAGGCTCCAATATGAATTGGTTCCAACTTGACGGCAGTAAGTAGTAGTTATTGTTGTTATGTGCCATCAAGTCAGAACCTACTGTTAGCTGACTCTTTAGCAGATTTTCAGAGGCTGTAAATCACATGGGAGAAGACTGCCCTTCTTTCTCCCTTTGAACAGTCAGTGAATTTGAACCGCCTGTTTTTTGGGGTTGACACACAACTTCCTACCACTGTTTATTAGAATACAATAGGTTATCTATCTGATCCCGTTTTTTTAAATTTTTAAAAAAAATTTTATGTGTGTGTACCATCAAATCAGATCTGACAGGTACAGGAGGAGATTGTCCCTCCTTCTCCAACAGAGCGTCTGGGGGATTTGAACCTCTCACTTCTGGGATTGCAGTGCAGCTTTTTGCCACTAGGCCACTAGAGCTCACCTGATTCTTTTTTTTTTTTTTTTAACTGATGTTGTTCAAGGAGCCTCTATTTCCTGCCTCAACATGAACTGGAATTTTCTCTGGTGCAGAGATCTTTTCCTAATTTTTTTCCTTTTCCAGCCTTTTCTGAATTCCATTTTCCTCCTCCTGGAGCCCATATTTTCTACTTTATTACTTACTTCTTTGTTGTGCACACCTGCTGGTCACTTATTTTGGGTCCCTGGTAGATAAATATTCTGAGAACTTGCCTATCTGAAATGGGTTTACTTTCTTCTCATCTTTTCCGTTTAGCTGAGAAAAAGAGGTTTTTCTTAGCAATAATTTTTCTTTTCATTTTAAAGGCATTGTTTTCTAATCTCCAAGTTATTGCTAAGAAATTTGATCATAGTTTGATTCTCAATCATTTGCGTAAGACCCTTTATCTCTCAAAAAGAAAGTTCTTCTCTTAACTTTGTCCATAGAGTTCTGAAATTTTGTGATATTCTCTCTCCTTTGCTGTGAAGCTGTTGTTATCCAGAATGCTGTGGGTGTTTTTAATTGAAGACTCAACTCAGGTTTATTATGTTTGGGGAAATTTTCTTTAATTCTTTTTTTTTCCTCTGTAATATTTTCTTAATTAATTTTAATGAACTTTACAGAGACTTAGGGTTTCCATTCATTCATTGTTGTACTTTTCTCCCTGCCTACCTCATCCCCCCAATTCACTCTTCTTCTTGAAAAGTAAAAGAAAAACTGTTTCATTATTAGGCTTTAATTCATTTTTTAAAGAATTCCCTCCAGTCACTCTCTTTTTTATGTTCTTTTATTTTGTTGTTGAGAATACACACAGAAAATCACATATCAATTCAACAATGTCTACATGTGCAATTCAGTTATGTTCATTACCGTCTCCTGACTGTCCGACCATCCTCTCACTTCGCTTCTGAACTGTTGCTCCGCCATCAACATTAAATCAATAATGCTTGTTGGCTTTGGTTTTTGATTGAGAGACCTTCCCCAAATTGGCAATGTCGTTGGTTGAAAAGTGCAGCATCTTCCTGGGTTGTAGACCTGACTTCCGTCCTTCTTACTTACTTAGTGGCAGAAGTTGTTGTTGCTGGGTGCCTTTGAGTCAACTATGACTCACGGCGATCCTGTGAACAGCAGGTCTGAACCTTGGCCTATCAGCTGCACCATCTTCACAACCTGACCTCCTTGAGTCCATTGTCACGGTCACTGTGCCAATCCACCTTGTTGGAGTCATTCCTCTCACTGCATTTCAGTAGTTAGAGTTCTTCTTTATATCTGGTTCAAGAATGCAGCTTTTTCCTCAGTTGAGAGAATGAACAGCCAGTCTATTTCTGGAGTGGAGTACACAGTTTTTCACTGAATGGTTGGCATACGGTGGCATGGGGTAGCATAAAAGCCCAGCTGCCTTTTATTACAGACTTTCAAGCAGCCCTGGCATGGTCAGCCTCACTGCCCATCCTCTGTCCAAACCCCAACCGCACAGGCACTCAGCATCTCATGAGAGCTTCCGAGGTCCTGCAGTGTGAGTTGGCCGACTTCCGGCCATTTCCCGCTCCCATCTGCAGTTTCTTCTTTCTTGAGCCTGCTCTACTAGATAGCACGCATCCGTCACTCTCCAAGTTCCAGAATATTCTTGCTGCATTCTCCATTGTCTTTATTTTAGGAGGCTTATAATATTTTTTTAAAAAATGTAATTGTTATTTTACAGGAGCTTCACAAAAATTGGCAGGAAATACATGTGTTCAGTCTGCCATGTTCAAACAAGAATCTTCCTCTTTTTAGTAATACATTGTATGTTTATAATTTGCAAATGGTAAGTGATTTTTCAATAAGATGTAAATAAAATAAATAAGATAAAATATTTCAATGTATTTGTAATTTTTTTAATGTATTTGTATTTTTTTTAAATGTATTGGTGATTTTTTTAATGTATTGGTGATTTTTTTAATGTATTGATGATTTTTATGTGCAACCCGATTCTTGGCTCAGAGGCTCTCACAGGGTGGTACCCACATCACTTGGGAACTCATAAGAAATGCAAACCCTTGGATCCCACTCCAGATCTCCTGAATCCATGAAGCTCTAGAGGAGATGCCAGGACTCTTTGTCTGACCAACTCTTCCTGGTCACTGGAGTTTAAGAACCACCATCATAAGTAACCTTAGGATTCTGAAAGTTTGAAAAACCTGGGCCATAGTCTCCACAATTGCTTGCTATGCATCAGAGAGCTGGACAATGACTAGGGATGATAGAAGGAGAATTGATGCCTTTGAACTATGGTGCTGGAGAAGAGTGTTGAATATACCATGGACTGCTAGGAGAACAAACAGGTTTGTCCTGGAGAGGGTGAAGCTGGAATGCTCCTTGGAGGCAAGGATTCTGGGGCTTCTCTGACATACTTTGGGCATGTTGCAAGGAGGGATTAGTCCTTGGAGAGGGACGTCATGTTTGGGAGGGTGGAGAGACAGCGCAGGAGAGGAAGACTCTCGATGAGATGTATCAATCCAGTGATTGAGGTATTGGGAGTAGATGTGTTGGAGACAGTGAGGTTGACACAGGATAGAGCAGGGTTTAAGGAGCTTGTACATAGGGTCTCTATGAGTCACAAACGACTCAATGGCACAGAACAACAACAACAACAACCCTACTCAAGCCTCAGTTCCAATCAAACTTCTGGAATGCGAACTTACCAACGGTTCCATTAGAATAAACGGACCACTCTGAGATGGATGTAACATAAACTATTATTCTCGAGAATCATTTGTGAATTTAAATACTGTGGTGTCCATCCTCCCACCCCCTATGGCTTCCAGTTGCTCCCTGATATGATCTTCTAAAGCTCTCAGACTGAGAACTCTAAGACCAGAAGTTCTGGCAGACTAGGAATGGTGAGAGATACGAGAGCAGTCTGAACTAGAAAAGTTTAGAAGACACTGTTAGGGACTCATTCTTCCTCCGCATCTTCTACCATCAATAAATTGGGAGAGGGGCTTCCCGCTTCCCACTGGATGGGGAGCCAGTAAGAGCTTCATGGGACAAATATCCTTGTTTTACCTCTTGTATTGCCAGACTCACTCAGTGGGAGGGTATTAACATTGAGAAGGTTCTATCTCTGCCTTCACAGCCAGAGAGGCTGCCTACCAGTTCAGTACCTACATACCTCTCAGCCCCATCCATTTGTGTGAACCTTCTGTGTTCCTTAATCTGAATTTGTTTCCCTATTTTTTTCTTGTTCCTTCTTCCATGTCAATATTGTTTGTTTTGTTTATCACATTTCCCCTTGAATAATCTCAGCAGTTCATGTCTCTGGCCTGGACCTCCAACTGAACTCTCTCCATGAATGGTTAATTCTCTGACCATTTCCCACCTGTCCTTCCAGGTATGTTTTCACTGGCATTTACACTTTTGAAGCCTTGATAAAGATACTGGCAAGAGGATTTTGTCTAAACGAGTTTACGTACCTGAGAGATCCATGGAACTGGCTGGATTTTAGTGTCATTACTCTGGCGTGAGTATTTCTCCGTGTTGTACATGTTGTACGTGTTACTCACATGTCTGTGTAGGGCTTATGGATGTATCCATGTTCACATGCTGTGAATGTGTCCTCATTGCATCAAGCTGTCTCATTTGCAAGTGGGATTGTAAGCCTGGGATTTTCTTACCACTAAGTGCTGCTTTGGAGTCACTTTCCAGATCTGTTCACACACCCACAGGGTGAAATCAGGGACCCACGTCTGGCCTTAATGACTTCTCGGAATGGACTAGCCTATCCTCAGCCTTGTACTTAACCAACATGGAAGGCTTTCCTTGAAACACCAACATCTGAGAAGACTAATTGGCTAAGCTGTATTTATGAATATCAGTACAGACACACACACAGAGAGACCTGCTTCCAGTACCTCACCTGAAAGGATCTATTCCTTTCTAAAGAATACACTGCAGCCTAAGTCAGTGGTAGGGAATCCATGGGAAGAAGAACCTTAGATTCTCAGTTTCTCTTCTGGGTTCTTCCTAGGCTTGTGTTACCCCAAATTGTCCTTATTTATGATGCATCCACTCCCCGGACCCCCTCATTGCAAAGATGCTGACTGACTTCTGGCCCTACAGATACATTGGCGAAGCAATAGACTTGAGAGGAATCTCGGGCCTGCGGACATTCAGAGTCCTTAGAGCTTTAAAAACAGTCTCTGTGATCCCAGGTGAGTGACTTTAACCAGCGCATTCGTTCACAGAGGGTGTGCTGGTTTCCAAAAGTTGATGTCCTTGATTTTCGCCAAGAGCCCTGCAAGGCTCTAAGGCAAGGACTATTGTCTCCGTCTCAAAGACAAAGAAACTAGTGCAACAATGAATGAGTGGAAGCCCAAAATCTCTGTAAATGTTTATGAAAATTAATAAAATATAATTATAGAAAAAAAAACACACAAAAAAAAACAAAGACAAAGAAACTGAGACTCAGAGAATGACTAGAAGATAAAATCCACCAACAAGAGGCAAAGTGAGACTAGAAGGTCCAAGGTCATGATCCTCAAACCAAATATGGCTGTACCACCTGTAAACGACAAAAGGGCCGTATCTTCATTTTCTGTTCTTGTCAGAGAGCGCAGATTAAGGCCTACAGTGGAATACTCACGCACACCTTAAACTAAAGGCTTAAATTTGGAAATAGAGATAGGAATCCTAGACTCCAGTGAAGATCGTCAGTTCTGTAAATTGGAACATTTTAACCTCATTCCTGTCTTTGGACACTTAGAGGAAAAGTAATTTGACAGGCCTTGTTCCTAGAGGATTTAGAAATAGTCCATTAAAGGTCATTTCCAAGAATCCTGTCCTCATCAATAGCCCAGTGGTCAACCCTCAACCACTTCTAGGTTGGTGGTGAAGGACCTACTGCTTCTTTTTTGTAGCCAGGTGGGGTACGGCCCCACCCTTCTGAGAATCAGTATCTTTATTTGAATGTGAGAAACAACCCTCTTAGCTTGGGAAGTCCCTTCCTACAATTCAACGTCTTGATCTCATGGAAGGTTCGGGAAGTCCTTGTCAACTTTTCACTAGACTCGATGTTTCATGAATGGAGCCACAGCTCCTAAATAGTCAGTTCTGTCCCTTGGTGCCTCTCTCACAATATTTTAGCTGAGAAGACCCTAAGACATCTGTCTGGGCGCCTCTCTCCAGCATGGTCTCTCCTCTCTGCACATCTCCCATCATCCTGCAAAGCACACTTGTGCTCCAGAGCCCTTGCTCACCTGAGTTATGCTGCTGCTCCGTCAGAGGGACCCTTCCTTTTCCTCACACAACTAATATTCTCATTCATACCTCCAGGCTTCACTTCCTCAATACAACGCCTCACCCTTTCCCAACTTCTCCATATTTCATTCAGCCCCCTCTCCTCTCCTCTCCTCTCCTCTCCTCTCCTCTCCTCTCGTCTGTTAGAGGCCACTTCTGTGTGCACCCACATGCTTGACAAAGGCTTTCCTCTCAGCTTTCAGACAGCCTCATTGTCCATTCAGCTCCCAGCCCACGTCCTGACAAGTGTAGTGCTCTACTGGTGTTTGCTAACTAAATTCTCTGTCCAACAGAATATTCTAGACTACTTCCCTGACGTGGAAGTTTGCTACCTATGAAGCTGTTCTTCTAGAAAAGTTGATTTCATTTCTCTACACAACAGAGCATCTTTCCTTAAAACCTAAGAGCTCCGTCTTTCCAGCCAGCTGTGGTTGGCTAATACATGACTCTTTCAAATATATTGTTATGTGCAGTCAAGTAGCTCGTGACTCGTAGTGACCCTGTGTACAAGAGCCTGCTCTATCCTGTGCCAACCTCACCTTCTCCAACACACTCATTCCCACCACCCCAATCACAGAATTGATCCATCTCATCGATGGTCTTCCTCTCCTGCGCTGTCCCTCCACTCTCCCAAACATGATATAGTCTCTGGTTTTTCTTCACTGACTCTCTCTCTCTTTCTCCGTGTCTCTCATCATCTCACACTATGGTTATATTCATTTCTCTGTCCATATGACTCTGCCTCTTTTTTTTCTGTGTCTTTCTCTCACTCCGCTTCCTTTGCATCTCCCTGACTCCTACACACACACACACACACACACACACACACACACACGAAGATTTTTGTGTCTCTATTCTTGAACTGTCTCTCAGAACAAGGTTAGTGCCAAAAAATAGCTACCCAGTGACGAAGGTGAAGTCGGCAGCCTCATGGCTCCTAGCATGACATCTGGCACGTGGTAGATACACAGTGATTTGTAATTACCAGCTTCAGGAATCTGTTAGGCTTAAGATGACGTGAACTATACGACTTGAGTCTTGGTTGCCTCATCTTTACAATGAGGACAGTAGTCTCTGCCTACGTGTTCCAAAGGGTTCAGATGGTGAACTGGGTTTGGAACTGCCCTGGAGTTCAGACATCCTCTCCCTCTGTGTGAAGTGTGGGAGAGTGATTGTTAAGATGCAAGTGCACCAGACGTGTGTGTGTGTGTGTGAGAGAGAGAGAGAGAGAGAGAGGGAGAGAGAGGGAGAGATGCCCCGTCCGCTCACAAGCATTGTTCTCCTCTCCCCGCAGGGCTGAAGGTCATCGTGGGGGCCCTGATCCACTCGGTGAAGAAGCTGGCTGACGTCACCATCCTCACCGTCTTCTGCCTGAGTGTCTTTGCCCTGGTGGGCCTCCAGCTCTTCAAGGGCAACCTCAAGAACAGATGCACCAAAAACTGCACTTTCTTTCAGAACATGAGCAACTCCTCTTATGAGGACTATGAGTGGAATTTTTGCCGCAATGATTCAGGTCTGGATAGCAAAGGGTGTAAATGTTCCACACATTTTTCATCCTTCTTCTTGGTCAAATATTTCCCCTGTGTTGTGTTTTTCTCTTGAATTCTACATTTACTGTTGTCCAATATCCCTTTTTTGTAAGGAATCGAGTCATAAATTCAGTGACAAGCTCTTTTGTCTCTGATGAGGGAGAGACAAGTCATCCCACCTGGGGCCAGCCTAGAGCAGCCCTCCCAGTCAGGACACACCTGTCTTCAGATGCATACATCCACCCAGTCCATGGTGCTATGTGCAGAGTAAAAGTGTGCTTGGTTACGATAGATTGTGGTTAGCTCACTGCTCGGTGGTTCTCACATAAGACTTTCCACCTTCCACGTGGCCCATGTGTCCATTGAGTGCGTGGGACTGCGGGCCCTCACTTGGCTCAAGCAGGAGACCTGGGAAGTGTAAGCCTTCATTGCACAAAGCTTCACCTGGCAGTTCATAACCATGTGTGAGGCTGACACATTTCCCCCTCTTTCTGCAGATTACCTTATCAAAAAGGAGGGAACTTCTGATTACTTACTGTGTGGCAACGGGACAGATTCGGGGTAAGTGCCCAGCACACAACAAAGCACCGAGAAGTCCTTTCTCCATCTTGCCATCAGCATTATCAGGCGCTGGGGAAGATGTGGGAACAAATATGCCATAGCTTTTGCCATCCCAGAGCTCCCAGGAAGTGAGAGTAGGAGTTGACGGTTGCCGTGTAACAAGCCATCCCAAAATGAAGTGGCTTAAGACAACAACCACAGTTTTACTGTGTGATTCTGCACATCAGCACCTTAGACTACATGGACTTACGCATCTGAAGACAGAAGCTTACTGACTGGGGAAGGGTTTCTCTACAATGGTCTTAGATGGGATGACTTGTCTCTCCCATATAATCTCTCACTTCCCAGCAGGTGGCCCGTGGCTTGTCCTCTTGGCAGAGGGAAGGGTCTGGGAGGGGAGGAGGAAGCATCAGAAGCCTACTGAGGCTTAGGACTGGCATTATGCCACTTCTACTTCCTCCATTGACTAAAGTAAGACACGGGCCAGTCTCAATCCAAGGAGTGGGGAACAATACTCCAGTTCTTGATGGGAGAAGCGGAGAAACCATATTGCAAAAAAAGCACGGATACCAGAAGGAGAGTAATTGTGGCCATTTGGCAAACAATCTACTCCAAGAAGGGATGAGTGTTTGTAAAAAATGTGTTTGGAGTCAAACGTTCAACATTAATCCTCATAATTTCACAATGCATGATTCATTAATGTCACATGGAGAAGAAAGGACATGCACCAGGCTTTGCAATAACAAACTCCCAGAGGCCAGGCTCATAGAAGAAAATGAGTGGCGGGAGCTGGGTGGGGACCATGGCAGCGCCCATGCCCCGTTAGGAGGGTGCAGCCACTGCTTGGCTCAGGTTTTGGTTGCCATCTGACAATGTAGTTTTATTGCTTTGAGCTTTTCCAACTTTTAGAGAAGGAAGAAAACAGAATTTCTGTGTGCTATCTCCCAACTATAAACATTGGTTTCCAATTCCAAAAGAGAAAGAAGAGTTCTATATATTGTGAGCTCAAAAAATACTTCTGGAGGCCAAATTCAGTCTACAGGCTGCCAGTTTGCAAGATTTGAGATACATGCATAATAAATAAAGTGTATGTGTATATGGATGGGTATATATGTGTGTGTATGTGCGTGCGTGCACACGTGCATATGTATATATTGAATTGCTGAGCTGGAGAAGAGTACTGAACATACCATGGGCTGCCAAAAGAACAAGCAGGTCTGTCCTGGAGAGGGGAAGCCAAGCTCTCCTTGGAGGCAAGGATTTGGGGCAAATGGCCAGGGGGGACCAGTCCTTGGAGACAGACATCACGCCTGGAAGGGTGGAGGGACAGCATAGGAGAGGAAGACCCAGGATGAGATGAATTGGCATGATAACTGAGATAATGGGGGAAGGTGTGTCAGATACAGTGAGACTGGCTCAGGATAAGGCAGGGTTCAGATTTATTATACATGGGTTCACTATGAGTTACAGTTGACTATATTTAGATAAGTAGATTATAGATGATAGATAGATAGATAGATAGATAGATAGATAGATAGATAGATTTCTGTCATTGCACGCTGTCAAGTATCGAACTAGAACAGACTCATAAATGACCCTCCAGAGGGTTTTCAGAGACAGTAAAATCACACTTTAATCTTATATAGAGAAGATATATTTATATATCTATATGTATGTATCTATCTCTAATCTCTATCTCTATTTCTATTTCTATCTCT